CTGATAATAATCATAAATGTGTCTTGAGCATCAGATCCTCATATTAGAGTGATTTCTGAAGGATCATGTGACACTGAAGACTGGAGTAATGATGCTGAAATTCAGCTTTGATCACAGGAATAAATTACACTTTACTGTATATTCACATAGAGAACAGCTGATTTACACTGGAGTAATATTACACTGTTTTACTGTATTTATGATCCAATAAATGCAGCCTTGCCAACACAATAATAAATTACATTTTAAAAATAAATTCAAACAGAAAACAGTTGTTTTACATTTGAGCATGAGAGACTTCTTCTAAAAACATAACAATCTTAACGATCGAAAACGTTTGACCGGCAATGTATAAATAATCAAAAAAATAGTTTTTTGTCTTTTAAAACCCAATTAGAGCGTGTTATCTTTTAAAAGCCCAGGATGGCCTCTTACACATACTGAATAGTGAGATGGTTGTGTTCTGTGATGTGTGTGTGTGTGTGTGTGTGTAATATCAGTGAAGAAGCACCAGATGGCAGAGTAACACCAGTGTCTCTTCTTCCTCAGACGCCGCTTTCAAGATCTTCAACCCCAATGCCTTGCACCACTTCTTCCGGCTCAACAGCCATAACGCCATCCTGGAGTTCCTGCTGGAGGTGACGTCTGTGTTCGTTTAATATTCAGCAATATTAAGGATCTCCTGCATTGACAGCATTATATGAGAGCTGGACAATGACATCACGGTTTTCTCCAGAGCCGCTATATATATATAAATTAACTTAATTAATAACTCTCATACAACAGAATGAAGCATCACTGATCTTCCTTAAGCTGGACTGACGCTATTCTCTTCTGGAAACAAACTTTATTTTCCTGTTATCTCTGTAAAGCACTGTATGAATGAAGAGACTTGACTTGTGTTCACACCGGATTCCTCATCCGTAACGAGTGATTTGTGTCCTGTTTGAGTCGCTCCTCACGAGCTCGTGTTCTCACAGGGTTCTCCGGAGATAAAGGAGCATTACATCGACTCGAAGAAAGAGGTGGACCGGCACCTGAAGTCCAGCTGTGAGCAGTTCATCCAGCAGCAGACGCACACGCTCGTGGGAAGCCTGGAGGACTTCCTCCGCAAGGTCAGAGCCAGAGGGCATTGGTGTATAGTGAGAGCGAATCTGCTTTTGTTCCATGCTCAAGTTCAAGTTTTTGCTTAAAACAAGCTAAATGATCTGCCAATGGGGTCAAATTATCCCCCCCCCCCCTTGAGATAAAAAAATCAATATATAATTTCTCTGGCCATTTTACTTCTCTACTAAATGCTTCTTGATTTTTTATATTTGGACTCTGTGTTCAGTGTGTGATGTTGCTGTTCCAGTTCTCCTCTATATCAGTGTCAGTGTTTCTGAACTCCTGAAACGCCTCCATTGTATCTTGAGTTTCTTCCGGAACGAACACGTCACAATATTCCTCATTATAATAATTAATGCGCAGAGTAAAGGGGCGGGGCCTGGTTGAGTTAGTCAGTAGTGTGTTAAACTCGGTTATGGAAAGGAGCGGGACATTTCCCAAACACACTCGAAGCGCTCGACCAATCACAACACACTGCTCCAGCCGACCAATCAGAGCACAGTGTGCTTTCAGGAGGAGGGGCTTCATAGAGACAGGAAGTAAACAGAGCGTTACTGGCAGACTGGGAAGAGAGGAGCCGCAACAATGGAGAATATGAGGAGAATAATCAACATTCAAGCAGGAAAACCTGTTCTAGTAGAGCCTGAAACTACATCACGACTCTGATAAAAGTTATAATATGTCCTCTTTAAAAAAGTTATTTGTCAGTAGAAATCTATGGAAGCTTGTTTCCGCCACAGAATAAAAAAATTAAAAAGGTAATTGGGCCTTTTTATCCTACAATTGCGTGATATAAAGTCAGAATTTCAAGAAATAAACTTAATTTGCCGTTTTTATCTCCCAATTCTGACTTTATAATACGCAATTGCGAGATAAAAAGTCCCAATTATCTTTTAAAATGTTTTATTCTGTGGCGGAAACAAGCTTCCATATAAATCAGACTCAATCAGTGGTTAGTGGGCACTTCTTCTCATTTAGTGTTTTAGTTTATCAATCAATCAATCAATCAATCTTTTATTTATAAAAGCACCTTAAAAACAACACTGTTGACCAAAGTGCTGAACACAATCTATAAATAAGTAACTTACAACAAAGGCACAACAAAGGAATAATAAACAATACCAGTAAACAATAGTACAAAAACTGAAAAAGTCAACCCTCAAACTGTATTAAAAGCCAAAGAAAATAAATAAGTTTTAAGACGAGATTTAAAAACAGGAAGAGACTCAGCCGATCTGATGTCCGAAGGCAGCTCGTTCCATAGTCTCGGAGCTGCCACAGCAAACGCACGGTCACCCCTAAGTTTACGTTTCGTCTTAGGAACGACCAGCAGTGCCTGATTAGTTGACCGGAGCGAACGAGTAGGGGTGTAGGGCACAAGCAGATCAGACAGGTACTGAGGGGCCAGCCCATGCAGACATTTAAAAACAAATAAAATAATTTTAAAATCAATACGAAACTGCACAGGGAGCCAGTGGAGGGATTGGAGAACGGTTGAAATATGGCCAAACTTTCGAGTTCCAGTTAACAGTCGAGCAGCTGCATTTTGAACTAGCTGTAGTCGTGTCATAAGTGATTTGCCAAGACCACTATAAAGTGCATTACAATAATCTAGTCGAGAGGTGATAAAAGCATGGATTAATATTTCAAAATCATGTTTAGATAAAATCGGTTTTTACTTTAGCTAATTGCCTTAGCTGGAAGAAACTGTTCTTTACCACTGCATTAATCTGTGCATCGAGCTTTAAACTACCGTCCAACTTGACTCCTAGATTTGTAACCACAGGGCTACTGTCACGTGTTAGACAACCCAGATCAACAGGAACTGTAGCAGCTGAGTCACTAGGAGCAAATAAAACAAACTCAGTTTTACTCTCATTTAAATACAAAAAGTTCATAGCCATCCATGCTTTCACTTCTTTCAGACACTCTAAAAAATTTTTTTGACTGACTTAGCGGCACATATATTTGGCAGTCGTCAGCATAAAAATGGAACGCGACATTGTAACTTCTAAGGATTGACCCAAGAGGCAACATGTATATTGAAAAAAGTAGCGGCCCAAGGACAGACCCTTGGGGAAACTCCGCACAACAAAGGAACCGAAGAGGACATAGCATCATTAACCTGAACTGAAAAACTTCTGCCGTCCAAATAGGACGTAATCCAGGCTAAGGCCGACCCCTTAATGCCCACATAATTCTCCAGCCGAGACAACAAAATTCTGTGGTCAACCGTATCAAACGCGGCCGTAAGGTCCAATAGCAGCAGAGCAACGGTGTCACCAGAGTCTGAGGCCAAAAGTATGTCATTTAAAACCCTCAGCAGAGCTGTCTCAGTGCTGTGGGCTGACTTAAACCCAGACTGGAAAATTTCAGTAATACCATTGTCGTTCAAAAATGTGCTTAACTGCAAATAGACAACTTTCTCCATAATTTTGTCTTAAAACTGAGTTTAATTTAAAGGTCTGTGGGTAACAGCGAATCCTCTCTCCTCTCTGAACCCCTCGTGTGTGTGTGTGTGTGTGTGTGTGTGTGTGTGTGTGTGTGTGTGTGTGTGTGTGTGTGTGTGTGTGTGTGTGTGTGTGTGTGTGTGTGTGTGTGTGTGTGTGTGTGTGTGTGTGTGTGTGTGTGTGTGTGTGTGTGTGTGTGTGTGTGTGTGTGTGTGTGTGTGTCACAGGTAGGAGCTTTAAAGACGATGGCTGTTGAAGGAGGGCCGACGTATAACCTGTCGCAGCAGCCGTGGGCTCAGCCTGGTGAGACACATCAATCATAAATCATAATCAGCCGATGGGTTACAGTGAGCATCGGAAACACTTTATATCGTTGAAGAGTGAATTTGACTGACATGTAAATTGCCTGTAAATTCACATATTACTTGATATTAATGTGAACAAGCAAAGGAGCATTGCAAAAAATGCTTTTCCTACTTTTTAATAAAATAAAAAATAAAAAAATTGAGTTTTTGCTTAAAACAAGCAAAATTATCTGCCAATGGGGTCAGAAAAATAATCTTGTTTTAAGCAAAAAATTTATTTATTTATTTTTATTATCAGAAAACAAGATATAGTTTTATGTAATTTTGCTTCTCTAGTAAATGCTTGTTGATATAAGAATTGTTAGATATTTGGACTGGAAACTAGACTAATACGGACTGTTTTTTACAGTGATCGTTATTCTGTTTCCTTGTTGTGTGATTTGTGCAATTAGACTATAACGAGTCAGAACTGAATATGCCATTTCTCGAGCGGGTTGTCTTGATGAGGATGTGTTATCTGTGCTTTCAGCCAAGATTAATGACGTTGTGATGAGCACCTACCGGATCCTGAAGAACAAGCTGCCAATCACCTTGCAGAGCCTGTCCCTGTATCTGGCCAATCAGGACACAGAGTTCATTCTGTTCAAGCCGGGTCAGGGTGAGTCACGCTTCAGATCAACTCCTCATATTATTGTTTATAAGTCTGTTTTCTTAAAGATGATCTGCCTAATCATACAATACTAGTTATGTAATCAAGTCTTGGTTTTAATTGACCTTTCCTTCGGTCACACACTGCAAAAAATGCTTTTCTTACTCATTGTTGTTTCCAGTCCAAATATCTAGAAATTCTTAAATCAAGAAGCATTTACTAGATGAGTAAAATATCTTATATCAAAAAAAATCAAGTTTTTGCTTAAAACAAGCTAAATTATCTGCCAATGGGGTACGAAAAAGAATCTTAATTCGAATGGAAAACAAGATTATTTTTCTGACCCCATTGGAAGATCATTTTACTTGTTTTATGCAAAAACTCACTTAATTTAGAAAAAAAAATTTTTTTTTGTTTACATATAATTTCTTATGTCATTTTACTCATCTAGTTAATGCTTCTTGATTTAAAAACGTTTAGATATTTGAACTGGAAACAAGACAAAAACACCAAGTAAGAAAAGCGTTTTTCTTTTAGTATCTTCAGTCTCTATGGCATCATTAGCATACTGAGGTGGGATTGGTCAGTGGGGTCTGAAGGCGGGGCCAAGCGCAGGTCAGTGGGGTTTGGAGGCGGGGCCAAGCGCAGGTCAGTGGGGTTTGAAGGCGGGGCCAAGCGCAGGTCAGTGGGGTTTGGAGGCGGGGCCAAGCGCAGGTCAGTGGGGTTTGAAGGCGAGGCCAAGCGCAGGTCAGTGAGGTTTGGAGGCGGGGCCAAGCGCAGGTCAGTGGGGTCTGAAGGCGGGGCCAAGCGCAGGTCAGTGGGGTTTGGAGGCGGGGCCAAGCGTAGGTCAGTGGGGTCTGAAGGCGGGGGCCAAGCGCAGGTCAGTGGGGTTTGGAGGCGGGGCCAAGCGCAGGTCAGTGGGGTTTGAAGGCGAGGCCAAGCGCAGGTCAGTGAGGTTTGGAGGCGGGGCCAAGCGCAGGTCAGTGGGGTCTGAAGGCGGGGCCAAGCGCAGGTCAGTGGGGTTTGGAGGCGGGGCCAAGCGTAGGTCAGTGGGGTCTGAAGGCGAGGCCAAGCGCAGGTCAGTGAGGTTTGGAGGCGGGGCCAAGCGCAGGTCAGTGGGGTCTGAAGGCGGGGCCAAGCGCAGGTCAGTGGGGTTTGGAGGCGGGGCCAAGCGTAGGTCAGTGGGGTCTGAAGGCGGGGCCAAGCGCAGGTCAGTGGGGTTTGGAGGCGGGGCCAAGCGCAGGTCAGTGGGGTTTGAAGGCGGGGCCAAGCGCAGGTCAGTGGGGTTTGAAGGCGGGGCCAAGCGCAGGTCAGTGGGGTTTGAAGGCGGGCCAAGCGCAGGTCAGTGGGGTTTGGAGGCGGGGCCAAGCGCAGGTCAGTGGGGTTTGGAGGCGGGGCCAAGCGCAGGTTAGTGGGGTTTGGAGGCGGGGCCAAGCGCAGGTTAGTGGGGTTTGGAGGCGGGGCCAAGCGCAGGTCAGTGGGGTTTGGAGGCGGGGCCAAGTGCAGGTCAGTGGGGTTTGAAGGCGGAGCCAAGCGCAGGTCAGTGGGGTTTGAAGGCGGGGCCAAGCGCAGGTCAGTGGGGTTTGAAGGCGGGGCAAGCGTAGGTCAGTGGGGTTTGAAGGCGGGGCCAAGCGCAGGTCAATGGGGTTTGAAGGCGGGGCCAAGCGCAGGTCAGTGGGGTTTGGAGGCGGGGCCGAGCGCAGGTCAGTGGGGTTTGGAGGCGGGGCCAAGCGCAGGTCATGTGACGCAGGATAACGAGGAGACTGTTCCCTCTGTTCCAGAATAACGTGCAGCAGGTTTTCCAGAGACTGCATGTGTTCCTGCAGGAGGAGTTCAGTGGAGAAGACCTGCAGATCATCGCCTGCCCCTCCATGGAGCAGGTGCAAATATTAGAATATAACATCATATTTCATATTTATTCACCACAGCAGTTTCGGCTTTCCTCCAGCCCGCGGAGGCAGTGGACTCGTGTTGTGTTGCGCACTTCATTCCACCAATCGTTGTTTGTTTTCTTCCTATTTATTTAAATCCAGATAATTGATTTACGAAACATCGATTGAAATTAAGGAACAAATTATACAAAACTTATGAAGTGGTCAAAAAATATCTCCCGACATATTGAATTAATCCCATTTCCACGTCCTTTATGACAGATCCCAACAGATTAAATTTAAACAAAACAAACAAATAATATCAGAAAATTGTAACAAAAATATGAAACCGAATAAATGTACTTAAATGGCTACAACAGCTCTACACAAGACAATGATGTCACTCTATGCACATTACACCAGCCAACAGCTGTGGATCGTCAGATTTATTGTTTTTAAAATAAGTCTTTTCTGCTCACCAAAGCTGCATTTGTCTGATTAAAAATACAGTAAAAACTGTAATATTGTGAAATATTATTATAATGTAAATCAGCTGTTCTCTATGTGAATATACAGTAAAGTGTAATTTATTCCTGTGATCAAAGCTGAATTTTCAGCATCATTACTCCAGTCTTCAGTGTCACATGATCCTTCAGAAATCACTCTAATATGAGGATCTGATGCTCAAGACACATTTATGATTATTATCAGTGTTGAAAACAGTTATTTACACTTTTATTCATGACTCTTTGATGAATAGAAAGTTTAAAAGAACAGCATTTATCTGAAATAGGAGCTTTTGTAACATGTTCAAACGTTTGTGGTCAGTAAGAATTTTTTTTATTTTTTGGGGGAAATAAATAAAAATGAATCAATACTTTTATTTATCAAGGATTAATTAAATTGATCAAAAGTGACAGTGAATGTTACAAAAGATTATATTTCAAATAAATGCTGTTCTTTTGAACTTTCCATTCTCAAAAGAATCATGAAATAAAATAGTACACAACTGTTTCCAACAGTGATAATAATCATGAATGTGTCGTTCTCCGTCCTCAGATCAGCCTCCTGCTGTCGGTGAAGTAGCCGGAGTTCGGATCAGCGGATCAGCTCTGGGAACAGAACCTCAACCTTCCAGAGATTCTGGAGACAAGCCAATGTTTATCACCACAGACTGTGTTTGACCGTTTGACCCGTTCCAGCGCTTAAAGACACTGTGTGTGTGTGTGTGTGTGTGACATTCATACTAAATCAGTTTGTACAGATTTAAATTATTGGAAGATGGGAATAATGAATTATGAATTATGTGTCTGTGCTGATGGAGGAGCGAGTCGATGAACGGGACAGTTGTCCAGCAGGGGGCAGTGTGTGTGTGTGTGTGTGTGTGTTTAAGGGATGAAAGGGGAGATCTAGACTGATAAGAGCATAAAGAAGAAGATTTATTATTTCTGCATTAATATCTCTCTCTCCTCTCTCTCTCCCTCTCTCTCTCTCTTCTCTTCTCTCTCTCTCTCTCTCTCTCTCTCTCCCCCTCTCCCTTTCCCTCTCTCTCTCTCTCTCTCTCTCTCTCTCTCTCTCTCTCTCTCTCTCTCTCTCCTCTCCTGTCTCTCTCTCTCTCTCTCTTCTCTCTCTCTCTCTCTCTCTCTGTCTCTCTCTCTCTCTCTCTCTCTCTCTCTCTGTCTCTCTCTCTCTCTCTCTCTCTCTCTCTCTCTCTCTCTCTCTCTCTCTCTCTCTCTCTGTCTCTCTCTGTCTCTCTCTCTCTCTCTCTCTCTCTCTCTCTCTCTCTCTCTCTCTCTCTCTCTCTCTCTCTCTCTCTCTCTCTCTCTCTCTCTCTCTCTGTCTCTCTGTGAGCTTTTTATACACACTTTGAGTTTGATATAATATGATATGAATGCCCTGTTCTGTCAGAGTGATAATCCTGAACTAAAGCTGCAGGTTTATGACACACTTGCCCTGACGCGTGTGATTTATTCCTATAACTGATATTCTATAGAACTGAAGGTTTGTAAATGAGATCCGGTCCAGTCGTCACGTGACGGAGCATTAAACATTGATTCAAATCTGTGCAGAAGCTTTATAAAAACTAGCTCTTTTTAAATTCCATACGCTTTTTAAAATGGTGTTTTAGGGCCGACATAAATCTTCATTTTTATTATTGCATTATGGGACGTTTCCGTTACTTCAGTGTCTTCAACCCTGCAGGAGAAGTTAAACACACTCCAGCGTACAGCGTCTCGAGACCTGAAGATGATTTATGGAATTAATAACCCATATTTGACATAGAAAACATCAAATCTTACATTGAAAATGTGCTTCATGCTGAAGTGAATCCATCAGGAACGGCACTTTCTAGATATTGATTTGACATATTTTATTATTATTAGAGTTTACTCAGACTAGTGTTGCTCATATTAATATTAGAGATATGATCAATCACTGTTAAAGTTCATCCGTCCTGCAGATTCCTCATATCATACTCTAATAGTTTAGTAAAACCAGCTCTCCACATGAACCAGCTCTGGCTGAGGCGTTCCCAGGCCAGTGTGGAGATATAATCTCCTGGGTCTTCCCCGAGGACTCCTCCCAGCTGGACGTGCCTGGAACACCTCCGTTTCAAATCAGATGAAACGATTACAAAATCGATCCTCGATCTTCGGCCTAGGGTACTCTGGTACCACGTACACTTATGAGCATCCTGATGTTCGAACATAGTGTTTGTTGTAGACAATCCATGACTAGCACAGAAGTCTAACAACAAACACCCACTCGGGTTCAGATCCGGGGGGGCGTTCCTCCCAATCACGCCTCTCCAGGTATCTCCATCATTGCCCACATGCGCGTTGAAGTCTCCCAGTAGAACTATGGAGTCCCCTATACTGGAGTCCCCTATACTGGAGTCCCCTATACTGGAGTCCCCTATACTGGAGTCCCCTATACTGGAGTCCCCTATACTGGAGTCCCCTATACTGGAGTCCCCTATACTGGAGTCCCCTATACTGGAGCCCCCTACTGGAGTCCCCTACTGGAGCCTCCTACTGGAGTCCCCTACTGGAGCCCCCTACTGGAGTCCCCTACTGGAGCCCCCTACTGGAGCCCCCTACTGAAGTCCCCTACTGAAGCCCCCTACTGGAGCCCCCTACTGGAGCCCCCTACTGGAGTCCCCTACTGAAGCCCCCTACTGGAGCCCCCTACTGGAGCCCCCTACTGGAGCCCCCTACTGAAGCCCCCTACTGGAGTCCCCTACTGAAGCCCCCTACTGGAGCCCCCTACTGAAGTCCCCTACTGGAGTCCCCTACTGAAGCCCCCTACTGGAGTCCCCTACTGAAGCCCCCTACTGAAGCCCCCTACTGGAGTCCCCTACTGAAGCCCCCTACTGAAGCCCCCTACTGGAGTCCCCTACTGAAGCCCCCTACTGAAGCCCCCTACTGGAGTCCCCTACTGGAGTCCCCTACTGAAGCCCCCTACTGGAGCCCCCTACTGGAGCCCCCTACTGGAGTCCCCTACTGAAGCCCCCTACTGGAGTCCCCTACTGAAGCCCCCTACTGGAGTCCCCTACTGGAGTCCCCTACTGGAGCCCCCTACTGAAGCCCCCTACTGGAGTCCCCTACTGAAGCCCCCTACTGAAGCCCCCTACTGAAGCCCCCTACTGGAGTCCCCTACTGAAGCCCCCTACTGGAGTCCCCTACTGAAGCCCCCTACTGAAGCCCCCTACTGGAGTCCCCTACTGAAGCCCCCTACTGGAGCCCCCTACTGAAGCCCCCTACTGGAGTCTCCTACTGGAGCCCCCTACTGAAGCCCCCTACTGGAGTCCCCTACTGGAGCCCCCTACTGGAGTCTCCTACTGGAGCCCCCTACTGGAGTCCCCTACTGGAGTCCCCTACTGGAGCCCCCTACTGGAGCTCCCTACTGGAGCCCCCTACTGGAGTCCCCTACTGGAGTCCCCTACTGGAGCCCCCTACTGGAGTCCCCTACTGGAGTCCCCTACTGGAGTCTCCTACTGGAGTCCCCTACTGGAGCCCCCTACTGGAGCTCCCTACTGGAGCCCCCTACTGGAGTCCCCTACTGGAGCCCCATACAGAACTCCATTCAGGGTTTCCAAGAAGGCAGAATACTCCGAACTGCTGTTCGGTGCATATGCACAAACAACATTCAGAGTTTCCCCCCACAACCCGACGGCGTAGGGAGGCGACCCTCTCTTTCTGTGAGTATCCCCTCACCCGCCCGGCGCCTCACACCCTGGGCAACTCCAGAGAAGAAAAGGGTCCATCCCCTTTCCAGGAGTACGGTTCCAGAACCGAGACTGTGCGTGGAGGTCAGCCCCACCAGATCTAACTGGTAGCGCTCCATCTCCCGCACAAGTTCCGGCTCCTTCCCCCACAGAGAGGAGACGTTCCACGTCCCCAGAGCCAGTCTCCGCTGTCCGGGTCTGGTCCGTCGAGGCCCCTGACTTTCACCGCCACCCATGTGGCAGCGCACCCGACCCCTGTGGATCTTCCTATGGATGGTGGGTCCAAAGGATGGAGAGGGGGGTGCGACGTTGCTGTTTCGGGCTGGGCCCGGCCGGGCTCCGTGGCAAACCCGGCCACCAGGCGCTCGCCGGCGAGCCCTCCCTCTGGGCCTGGCTCCAGATGGGGGCCCCGGGCTTCCTCCGGGCAGGGTCTCTCCTCCTCTTCCTCGTTTTTTCATCATGGGTCTTTATGAACCATTCTTAGTCTGGCCCCACACCTGGAACCACTTTGCCTTGGGAGACCCCACCAGGAGCACTAGGCTCCAGACAACACAGCCTCCAGGCTCACAGGGGCACGCAAACCTCTCCACCACGGCAAGGGGACGGTTCCCGGAGAGGAATTAAAGAAAACCGTTCCATGCAATTACAAGACTAAAATAAATAATTTCAATAAATGTTTTCTTGAATAGATTTAAAGGGTTAGTTCGCCCATTTAATACATGAAGATGTATGCAATCCTTCCCAGCACTATAGTGCACACACACTGACCCACTCTGTTGTCATCTCCCTGGTCAGAGTTCTGGCCGCTGGAAGTTTTTCAAGAAAGTACTCCCGGTTAGTTTCCGGGGCCTCAAAACTGTGCGTTTTTACGTGAAAAAAATATTTGCGTTTCAAAGCTTGATTAATTTACCACACAAAAAACACGCCAGACAAAATTCATACCTCAGTTTTAATCGGCACTATTTTCTTTCCATTTCTATCAATCCGCGCTGCTGTCAACGTCAACAGTGCGCACGTTCCGATCAGCTGTTGATAGCGCGACTCGCTGACAACTGTCTGACTGCGAAACTTCTGATGATGAAAACAATTTTAGCACAATGCCAGATGGAACAGATGATGATGAAAGTAATTTTAGCACAACGCCAAAGGGATACCTTTATGAACCGGAGTATACCGATGCCGAACTTCAGCAGATGGAGATAGAACGGGGAGAGAGAGAGCGAGAGGACAGAGATGAAGTTGTCGAAGGTTATGCTGGGCCCACAGCTGTAGCAAGAGCCAAGACGAACGACAAATGGTGGTGCACTTGTTCAAATTGCAACACAAAACCTCAATTGTGTGTGTGTTCAATCAAATAGTTTTCGTTGACAGCAGCGCGGATTGATGGAAATGGAAAGAAAATAGTGCCGATTAAAACTGAGGTATAAATTTTGTCTGCCGTGTTTTTTTGTGTGGTAAATTAATCAAGCTTTGAAACGCAAATAATTTTTTCACGTAAAAACGCACAGTTTTGAGGCCCCGGAAACTAACCGGGAGTACTTTCTTGAAAAACTTCCAGCGGCCAGAACTCTGACCAGGGAGGTGTCAGCAGAGTGGGTCAGTGTGTGTGCACTATAGTGCTGGGAAGGATTGCATACAACTTCATGTCTTAAATGGGCGAACTAACCCTTTAAGTTCACGCTTAGATCATCACTACAAATAGCATGTTAAAAACAATTATATTACATGCAGTAATAATAAATTATGTAATTCTGACACGAAGTAATTAAGTTAACTTATTTGTGTAAATTCAAGTGGATTAAACATAAGAAATTAAGTTGCAACAAAATGTTCAAGAATTGTGTTCGTATAACTGAGATGATGTACATTTTAATTTTAATTTGACTTATTTTAGTCATTTATTTATTTATATATTGCAATCTCTAGAACAGTGGAGCCCCATACAGAACTCCATTCAGGGTTTCCAAGAAGGCCGAATACATTAAAATGGTCATTATATATAATAATGATACATAATTGGAATAAACACAGATCATCTTCATAAATCATGAAATCAAAATGGAATTTTTCTTTTTTTTAAAGATGAATGAATGAATAAATACATAAAAACATAATCAGAGTAACTTGCTTCACCTGTGAAACAGCTTTCCTTTCGGTGATGTCATCAGTCCCTCCTCCAATCATCTGTTCCGGTGTGTATCGCCCACACGTCCCAAACACACACAGTTTTCTTTCTTCTGTGAGAAATAAGAACGTCCAACCTTCTGGTTTTGTGCGTACAGTGCAGTTATTTATACTGTCAAGCATCATAATAACTCATATGATGATTTCTGTGCGAGGAACATCAAATTTAAGTCATTATTAATTTTTTTTTAACCTTTTCCTTCATCATTGCCTCTTTAACTTGAACAAAAGTGTAAAGATTAAATATTATAAATGAATTTTTGCAAGCAAGATAATGTTTTTGACTGTTTTTGATGCCATCATTTTTCTGTTTGCTGCAAGAGTTCTGATATAATGTTTTCGGTCACATGACATTTACGACTCAGGTGATTGGCTCAAAATAATGAATCCATGAGCAAAGATGGCAGTATATTGAAATGATAAATAATGCACAATACAGATTTTACTGGCAGGTAAGAAGCATTTGTGACTGGTAGTTGTTCTCAGTTCACCCAGGTGTGCCGAAAGACCCTTGGGGCGAGAACTAAAGACTAGAGAAACAGAAGCTCAGTGTGTGTTTTCGGGATGATGACTGATGATGTCGTCAGCCTTTCCCGCTCTGTCTGAGTTGTGCTGGTTGCCATGGCGATGACCCTGTCATCAAACCCCTCCGCCACGGTTCACTAGTGAGTCAAGAGCTCCAGACAAAACACATCAAACGGAGCAGAAGACAACACACACCAGAGAGGTGTTCACGTCTGCAGGAGGAGGGAAACAAAACTGCACAGGGATTTAGATGTGTGTTTTATTAACCAAGTTCGGGAGGAACACGTTCAAAGTATCAATCAGTAATCAACATGTCTACCCAATCAGCTAAATGAGTGAGGCCTATATACATGCACATTCGACTCGCCTAGGTTTACTCGAGAGTTTTCAGCATCCCTCCATCACCCCGCCTCCTCACACTCGCCTGGTTACTGTCCTAACCAGGAATACTGGAGGACACTCTGGGCTCGGGCCAAAACACCGACATCTGAGCCTCTCCTCGGACAGCACGCCAAATATGCATACTACTCCATCTGATTAACTGTCAAGTCGAGTCTCCTTCATCTATACAGCGCTGTAACAGTATAGAGTTTCACAGCAGCTTTACAGTGATAACAGGAGATTACAGTAACAGAGAGTGTTTAGGCTTTACAGCAGCTCTAGAATAGAGTTATTGTCCAGATAAAGTTAGTTTTGATTGATTGATTGATTCACTTCCATTGCGAAGATCATTAGTTATTAATGAGCTAAACCATTTAGTGCATAAGTAATTAGCAATATTTTAAAATGTATACGATGTTTAATACCAATGCAGTGTTGACAGAACCGGGCTAATATGGTCATACTTCCATATTACGTGAGGAAGTTTTTTGTCCAATTATTATAATCTCTGGGTTTTTTTTTTTTCAGAATTTAGTAGGAAATGACTAGTCGTATCCTAGTGTCAAAGATGAATTAAGGATAATGAGAAGAGGATCTATGACCTCTGGAAGCATCTTTTTGAATAGTTTAGTCGGTATAGGGTCTAACATACAAGTTGTTGATTTAGATCATTTAACGAGTTTAGACAATTCTTCCTCTCCTATGGCAACGAATGAATCTAATCTTTCCTCAGGGAGACTACAATGCACTCCCTGATGCGATACTGTGGTAGACGGTTGCATAGTTATAATTTTGTCCCTGATATTATCAATCTTATAAGTGAAGAAGGTCATAAAGTCATCATTGCTGTGTTGTTTGGACACTTCTGGGCTTGAAGCTTTATTTTTCGTTATTTTAGTCACTGTTTCAAATAAATACCTTGGATTGTGTTTATTTTCTTCTAATAGGGTTGAAAAATAAGCAGATCTAGGAGCTTTTAAGGCCTCTCTGTAAGCGGTCGAGCTCTCCTTCCATGAAATGCGAAATTTAGTGTTCTTCTAGTTGCGCTCCATGTTTCTGGCTGCTCTCTTAAGGGCTTGTGTGTGTGTGTGTGTGTGTGTGAGTGAGTGAGTGAGTGTGCTCGTTGTACCACGGCGTTGGACTATTTTCTTTAATCTTCTTTAAGCGCAACGGAGCAACTGCGTCTAAAGTGCTGGAAAAGAGAGAGATAAAAGTTTCTGTCGCAATATCGAGTTCTTCTAAGCTATCTGGGATGCTGAGATGATGAAACTGATTAGGAAGATTATTAATAAAGCAATCTTTAGTGGCAGAAGTTATAGGTCTAACGTATTTATAAAACAGAGTCGGCTTTGCAGCCTTGGCTAAATGTAATATACATGAGACTAGATAATGATCTGAGATGTCATCGCTCTGCTGCAGAATTTCAACGGCATCAATATCTATTCCATGTGATAATATTAGATCTAGAGTATGATTACGACAATGAGTAGGTCCCGACACGTGCTGTCTATCTCCAATTGAGTTTACAATGTCTTTAAATGCCAATCCCAAAGCATCTTTTTCATTATCTACATGTATATTAAAATCACCAACAATTAGTACTTTATCTGCAGCCAATACTAATTCTGATAGAAAGTCAGCAAATTCTTTGATAAAGTCTGTATGGTGCCCTGGTGGCCTGTATACAGTATAATTTACACTATATATTGTTACATTAAGCACCAACACTTCAAAAGAATTATATTTAAAACTAGACGTCTTATTAATTCTGAAAATATTACTATAAATTACAGCAACACCTCCCCCTTTGCCTTTCAGACGAGGCTCATGTTTATAACCGTAATCTTGTGGGGTTGACTCATTTAAAGTAATATAATCGTTTGGTTTTAGCCAGGTTTCTGTCAGACACAGCACATCTAGATTATAATCTGAAATCATATCATTAACAATAAGTGCTTTTGAAGTAAGGGATCGAATATTCAACCCGAGCTTTATCATTTGCTCATTTGTATCATGTTTGTTTTTTATTTGTTGAACATCAATTAAATTTTTACCCTTGGGTTTGGATGTTTTTTGTATTTCCTAATTCGGGGAACAGACACTGAATCTGAAAGAGGCTCTATGTGATTGGATTTATCTGACCTTGGTGACGTGAGGCCGCTAGCAGACGGTCGGTTTAGCCAGTCTGTCTGCTTCCTGACCTGAGCCCCAGATTGTCACGTTTGAGCTCTAAGACTATGAGCCAAATTACTAGAGAGAAGAGCAGCACCAGCCCAGGAGGGATGAATACCATCTCTTTTCAACAGGTCAGGTCTGCCCCCAAATTTTTTCCAATTGTCTATGAATTCTACATTATTTGTAAGTGAGAACTCGTGAAACAGTAATTTTCTGAACGGATGGATGGATGGTGTATTTGCGTTCATTACATTCACAGCTGTTTAATCACTCAGTGTTTAGCAAAGCTCTATTGAACATCTGGACACACACTGATGCGTCAGGAGGAATGAGCAGCACTGACTGTGTGTGTGTGTGTGTGTGTGTGTGTGTGTGTGTGTGTGTGTGTGTGTGTGTGTGTGTGAGTGAATCCTGTGAAAGCGCTGCATATACGGCATCATGGAGGCAAGATCACACTGGAAACCTGGTGTCTCAACCCGCAGGCGTGTGAATGACACACTGAGTCTGAGATCGGGCCAAAACACATGATTTATTGAGCCGCTTATTCAAACACTAGCGTATATAAACACACACAGACTCGTGTATATAAACACACACCTTCACCTACGAGACTCAAGAGCTGCAGGAAACAAACATTATTCTTCAGCATGAGACCTGATTAGAACCGGATTTCTCTCAGGTTTTAGAGTCTTTGACATGTTGGTCTCCGTCACTGTGCTGTTATTGCTGTGTGTTTATAGTTCTGCCGGGTTCATTAGTGCTCAGACTGCAGATCCGGGAGTAAAGAACATCTCGTGGAACTCCCCGGACGGCACTGGGAACAGAACCCGGAGAAACTCCCCGGACGGCGCCGGGAACAGAACCCAGTGGAACTCCCCTGACGGCACTGGGAACAGAACCCGGTGGAACTCCCCGGACGGCACTGGGAACAGAACCCGGAGGAACTCCCCGGACGGCACTGGGAACAGAACCCGGAGGAACTCCCCAGATGGAACCGGGAACAGAACCCGGTGGAACTCCCCGGACAGCACCAGGAACAGAACCCGGAGGAACTCCCCGGACGGCACTGGGAACAGAACCCGGAGGAACTCCCCAGATGGAACCGGGAACAGAACCCGGTGGAACTCCCCTGACGGCACCGGGAACAGAACCCGGAGGAACTCCCCGGACGGCACTGGGAACAGAACCCGGAGGAACTCCCCAGACAGCACCGGGAACATAACCCGGAGGAACTCCCCGGACGGCACTGGGAACAGAACCCGGAGGAACTCCCCAGACGGCACTGGGAACAGAACCCGGAGGAACTCCCCGGACGGCACTGGGAACAGAACCCGGAGGAACTCCCCGGACGGCACTGGGAACAGAACCCGGAGGAACTCCCCAGACAGCACTGGGAACAGAACCCGGAGGAACTCCCCGGACGGCACTGGGAACAGAACCCGGAGGAACTCCCCAGATGGAACCGGGAACAGAACCCGGTGGAACTCCCCGGACAGCACCAGGAACAGAACCCGGATGTGCTCAGGACCGGTGCGGATCAGAGACGCCTTCAGGTACATCAACAGTGTGGTCTCGGTTCTGGTGCTGCTGCTCGGGATGCTGGGAAACGTGACTCTTCTGAGGATCATCACAGAACACAAAAGCATGAGAACTGGACCCAATATTCTCATCGGCAGTCTGGCTCTGGGAGATCTCCTGCACATCGTCATCGCGATTCCCATCAATGTTTATAAGGTAACCAGTGTTGGGGTAACTCATTACAAGTAACTTGAGTTACGTAATCAGATTACTCTTTCAAGTAACTAGTAAAGTAACGTATTACTTTTAAAATTGCCATTTATTGACTGACAGCTCTCCTGTCCCAATGTTGAGACAAATCGAAGTGCAGAGGCGTTGTGTGTGTGTGTGTGTGTGTGCGTGTGTGTGTGTGTGTGTAAACATGATGGTTATTGTAGTTCTCGACTAAATGTGAGCATTTACTCATCTAACTTTCACAAAAAAAGGATTCAATATTCCTCAAAATGAATAAAAGCAGCGACATGCAGATTCAGAATACTATGCAAACCTCCAATAACTAAATATGTTAAATAAAGAATACATTTTTATGCATTTAATGCCACTTTATTGACCAATGTACTTGCTTCTGACCTTCGATGATTCAATTAAATCATAAGCAAAAATAACTATAGATTTTTTTGTTTTTATTGGTAGTGTTAAACTTTTTTCTCCTGCATCTTATTGTTCTTTTACCCAGAACAGCAGCAGCTGAAATGTTTGTTTGAGCGGCGCCCTCTACTGTACATATACTGTACTGTACTCTACTGTACCTCTACTGTAGTCTACTCTACTGTACTGTACCTCTACTGTAGTCTACTCTACTGTACTCTACCTCTACTGTACTCTACTGTACTCTACTCTACATCTACTGTACTCTACCTCTACTGTACTCTACTGTACTGTACTCTACTGTACTCTACCTCTACTGTACTCTACTGTACTGTACTCTACCTCTACTGTACTCTACCTCTACTGTACTCTACTGTACTCTACTCTACATCTACTGTACTCTGCCTCTGCTGTACTCTACTGTACTCTACTCTACCTCTACTGTACTCTACCTCTACTGTACTCTACTGTACTGTACTCTACCTCTACTGTACTCTACCTCTACTGTACTCTACTGTACTGTACTCTACCTCTACTGTACTCTACCTCTACTCTACCTCTACTCTACTGTACTCTACTGTACTCTACTCTACATATACTGTACCTTTCTGCAGCTCCTGGCGGAGGATTGGCCGTTCGGTGTCCTGATCTGCAAACTCCTGCCGTTTATCCAGAAAGCCTCGGTGGGAATCACAGTCCTGAGTCTCTGCGCTCTGAGTATCGACCGGTGAGTCTTTTACATCAGCGCTTCTTTAAGATTTCATATTTCATATTGAATTTTACGTCCTTAGAGCTAGTTTCCGTGTCCAGAAATCGGGTTGTCGAGGCCCCCGCCTTCGACTGCCGCCCGATCCACTAAGCACCGGCCCCTTATGGTCCCTCCTGCTGGTGGTGAGCCCACGGGAAGGCAGCCCCCCGTCGCTCCTTCGGGCTGAGCCCGGCCACCAGGCGCTCGCATACTAGCCCCAACCCCGGACCTGGCTCCAGGGTGGGGCCCCGGCTACGCCATGCCGGGCGACGTCACGGTCCTCGAATTTAAATACGTCATAAAGGGTTTTTGAATCGCTCTAAGTCTGACCCGTCACCTAGGACCTGTTTGCCTTGGGAGACCCTACCAGGGGCATATAGCCCCAGACAACATAGCTCCTAGGGTCTTTCGGGTACTCAAACCCCTCCACCACGGTAAGGTGGCAGTTTCTCAGTCAGAAAAGGGTGGCTTGCCCACTTCAGGTTGGTGGAGAGTTCCTGCCTCAAGTGGAGGAGTTCAAGTATCTTGGGGTTTTGTTCACGAGTGAGGGAAGGATGGAACGGGAGATTGACAGACGGATCGGTGCAGCTTCTGCAGTAATGCGGTCGATGCACGGGTGAGTCGTGGTGAAGAAAGCGGCGAAGCTCTCGATTTACCGGTCAGTCTACGTTCCTACTCTCACCTGTAGCCATGAGCTGTGGGTCATGACCGAAAGGACAAGATCCCGGATACAGGCGGCTGAAATGAGCTTTCTCCGCAGGGTGGCTGGGCGATCCCTTAGAGATAGGGTGAGAAGCTCGGTCACTCGGGAGGAGCTCAGAGTAGAGCCGCTGCTCCTCCACATCGAGAGGGCCAGCTGAGGTGGCTCGGGCATCTGTTCCGGACGCCTTCCCGGGAAGGTGTTCCAGGCGGGTCCCACTGGGAGGAGACCCCGGGGAACACCTAGGACACGCTGGAGGGACTATGTCTCCCGGCTGGCCTGGGAAGAGCTGGAGGAAGTGTGTAGGGAGAGGGAAGTCTGGGCGTCTCTGCTTAGACTGCTGCGCCCGCGACCTGGCCCCGGATAAGCGGAAGAAGATGGATGGATGGATGGATGGATGGATGGCATATTGAATTTTAGCATTGATTAATGTTTTATCTGATGGTTTTCTTCACCTGTACTAATACAATTGGAACAACATGTTTTCTATTTAAATGTGCTTTAAAAATAATGAAATTGAATTACCTGGTAGATTACTTACAAACTTTAGTCTGTTAATTATTACATATTTCATTACTGTTTGGGTCGGTAAGATTTGTTAATGTTTCTGAAATAGTCTTTTCTGCTCACGAAGGCTTCACTTATTTGATCAAAAAAGTAAAAATTGTGAAATATTACTCCAGTGTAAATCAGCTGTTCTCTATGTGAATATACAGTAAAGTGTAATTTATTCCTGTGATCAAAGCTGAATTTTCAGCATCATTACTCCAGTCTTCAGTGTCACATGATCCTTCAGAAATCACTCTAATATGAGGATCTGATGCTCAAGACACATTTATGATTATTATCAGTGTTGAAAACAGGTGTGCTGCTTCAGAATTTTTTGGAAACCGTGATACATTTTATTGTTCAGGATTCTCTGATGAATAGAGTTCAAAAGAAATAGTATCTTTTGTAACATTATAAATGTCTTTACTGTCACTTTTGATCAGTTTAATGCATCTTTGATGAATAAAAGTATTCATTTCAGATAAAAATACTAACCCCACACTTTTGAACGGTAGAGTACATCACAAAAATTGTAGTTAGTAATGCAATCTATCAATTACACAATTTTTTTAAATGACTTTTGACCTAACTTGTTTATGATATAGATTTGAATAGGATTATTTTGTATCATATTCATATCAGCAAATATATATATTTTTTAAACCAATGCATAAAAAAAGAAAATTATAAAGAATTTGATCAAGAACATGAAGGAGCTGCTGGGGGTTTATTATCGGATCACAGACACTTATTTTGTGTAATCTGACCACTAAACTAGAAGCTTGTGTCGTTCTGAAGGTACCGGATCGTCTCATCCAGGACTCGGACCAAAGCGCCGGGTTTTCCCAAGTGGATCGCAGTCCAGGTGTGTTTATTATGGATGATCTCGACTCTCCTGGCCGTTCCGGAGGCCGTGGCGTTCGACCTGATGGAGATGGATTACAGAGGCAAGCGTCTGCGGATCTGCCTCCTTCATCCTCTACAGTCCTCATCCCTCATGCAGGTACACTGGGACACACCCTCCTTCACCCTCTACAGTCCTCATCCCTCATGCAGGTACACTGAGACACACCCTCCTTCATCCTCTACAGTCCTCATCCCTCATGCAGGTACACTGAGACACACCCTCCTTCATCCTCTACAGTCCTCATCCCTCATGCAGGTACACTGAGACACACCCTCCTTCATCCTCTACAGTCCTCATCCCTCATGCAGGTACACTGAGACACACCCTCCTTCACCCTCTACAGTCCTCATCCCTCATGCAGGTACACTGAGACACACCCTCCTTCATCCTCTACAGTCCTCATCCCTCATGCAGGTACACTGAGACACACCCTCCTTCACCCTCTACAGTCCTTATCCCTCATGCAGGTACACTGAGACACACCCTCCTTCATCCTCTACAGTCCTCATCCCTCATGCAGGTACACTGAGACACACCCTCCTTCATCCTCTACAGTCCTCATCCCTCATGCAGGTACACTGAGACACACCCTCCTTCACCCTCTACAGTCCTCATCCCTCATGCAGGTACACTGCAGAAACACACTGGGCAAACGGGGAAACCACTTCAGAAACCCAAATGGAAGAGGTTTCACACTCTTTTCTCTAGAAAGATTCGTGCCGGTTTGGAACTACACGAGATTAAGCAAATAATTTCAAAATTTCATTTTTGGGTCAGTTTTTCTACACAGGATAATCAAGTGTGCATATTGTGCATTTACACCCTCTGGTGCTCTTCACGTGTCGGTCAAAAATTACTATTTTTATTAAATGAATTTACTATATTTTAGTTTGATTATGTTTTTATTTAATATTTTGTATTTTAATGCGATTTTTATAGTAAATTATATTTAATCTGTATTTATAAAATAAATTTCCAACTTAAACTGTCGTAAATCTTGAATTCTTTAGAACACACACTTGGCAGAGTATTGCTGAAGTGAAAAAAGTTGTTAAAAGTTAACTTAAAAAAGTTACAGAATTTTACGTTTATAAAATTAAACGTAAAATGCACAAAAATACTGTTTTAAATTTTTATATGAAATATATATTTTCAAAATCACGTTTTACTCTAAAACTGCAAGAAAATCAAAGCCGTAACTCTCCCCCAGTGTGTGTTCTGCATGTGAGCTGATCTCTCAGTAAACGAGCGTTCAGTGAGAGTGTGTTCGGCTGCAGTTCCACACGCTTCCACTAGAGGAGACTCTCATTCATTTACAATGCGCTCGTTTCTGACCGCGAGGAGCACAAGTGGGACTGTTGTTTCAGGACCATTTAACCTGTTCGAACCTGTTCATGATTTTTTTGTGTGTTCACACAGCAAGTGCAAAAACCTTTACCAAGTTTCGTACCATTCCAATGAAGTAAAAAATTCGGAAAAAAAACTAAACGTAAAATTTTCCAGAGGGTGAGTTATATTCACTATGATGTGAGGAGGTGTTGATGTGGAGAGTCTCGTTCCCTCATAAACATCTCGGGGTTTCAGTCTGATGATGACGCGCTTCCTTCGAGACAATGTCAAGTTCATCATTAACTCTGATTTGTCTTGTTCTAGTTTTATAAAGTGTCCAAAGACTGGTGGCTGTTCGGGTTTTACTTCCTGGTCCCGCTGGCGTGCACCTCCATCTTCTACTCCCTGATGACCCGCAGGATCTTCAGCCGGAGCGTTCTGGACAAACACATGAAGCAGGTCTGAGTCTCAGGAGTTCCTCATGTTCACCGACCCGCTCTCGGGTTAGCATGCGCTCGCGTCACCGCCTCATTGGTTCACGGTTGTGAAGATTACGCGGAGATGATAACGGTATCGCTTTCAAAACTAGTTTTCAAAAACTTGCGCCTTGGATCCTGTTTCAGAGTGTGTGTTCTCGAGCTCAGAGTGTGTGTTCTCGAGCTCAAACACTGCTGTGTGAATGAACGTTCAGAACACATTAAAGTCTCTGTGTTCTGGAGCGGTGTCGTGTTAGCGGCCCCATAGTTAATCACTAATGATCTTTACAACGGAAGTGAATCAATCAAAACTAACTTTATCTGGACAATAACTCTATTCTAGAGCTGCTGTAAAGCCTAAACACTCTCTGTTACTGTAATCTCCTGTTATCACTGTAAAGCTGCTGTGAAACTCTATACTGTTACAGCGCTGTATAGATGAAGGGTGAGTTTTATAAGCGCCATCTACTGGCGGAGAGTTCCTTCAGCGCTTCACACTGTGAACCGTGGATCAGACGGAAGCAAATGTGCATTCAAAAAATCTAAACAAATACTGTATATAATATATTTTAAATATAATAATATAAACATAATAATTTATAATTTTGACTCATCGCTTTTCTTAAAAAATGGTTTAAAGGCTGAAATGTGTGGTTTATCATTTTATAAAAGTTTTATTTTTGTCAAAACCTGTGTTTGAACTGTAACGCTGTTTACTGTAAATCATGATTTGTACAGTTTAAGATGTTACCATAGACATTGCTCATATGGTATTAATATGTTTGTGCAGGACTTGGAAAGGGTCTTTAAAAGACTTAAATTAGATTTTAAAAACCCTGCAGATATCAGCAGTCGAAGCACTAAGCCACTTGTCATTTTTATTATTATTTTATTATTAACTTTTTTTCCTTTGTTTGTTTTGACTGGTGTGTGTGTTTGTGTGTGTGTGTGTGTGTGTTGGGGCAGAGGCGCGAGGCGGCCCGGACCGTCTTCTGTCTGGTTCTGGTGTTCGCCGTCTGCTGGTTCCCACTTCACCTCAGCAGGATCCTGAAGCTAACCATCTATGATGAGCACGACCCCAACAGATGCAGCTTACTGAGGTAACACACGCACGCACGCACGCACACACACACACACACACACACACTCTTATAAGCTCCAAAAATCAGCACCATACCAACAGGACACGGAGACTTAACTCTATTTTTGCCACTGAGCTTGTTGTGTGTCATTATGCGATTGTCTTCATCAAAATTATGATGCTTATCATGTCTTAAAGGGGACATACCATGAAAATCTGCCTTTCTCTGTGTGTTAGTGCTGTAATCCGGTGCTTCTAACAACCCAGAAAATGTGAAAAGTGAAACCCAGTAACTTTGTTCTGGTGAGTCTTTCTCTGAGAGCATGTCTAATATAAGCCGGTCAGATTTCGCTCCTTCTGCCGTATGAAGAGGATCTTATTATAATATTCCCGGCCCTTAATCTGCACGTTTACACACACCAGCGACATTGGGTTCGGCGAGCGCCAACAGAGACCAGTTCTAACGCACTGGAGAAGATCCAGCAAAGCCTGAAACTGTTCTGTGGTCGAGCACAGACGACACTGAACACTATTGACCAGAACATGTCAGCGCTGTCTTATAAACACCTCAGGAACTGTGGACACTTGTGGAAGAGTTCAACATGATGAGGAGATGATCAGTGTAACTCCACAACAACTACAGAAATGTCTCCGCTAACATTCAGAAACGTGTAAAAGTGAAGCTCTCCCTGAGTCTCTCCGTAAGGCTGCACTCGCTGCTGTTACTCCTGACTCTGGATCAGTGAGATCGGCCTGTGTTGTTATTGCCGGAGTCTCTGAAGCTCGTGTGAAGGCTCCGCCCTCTTCTGAACAGAGGCGGAGCTAAAGCTCATTTGCATTTAAAGGGACACACCAAAACGGCGTGTTTTTTGCTCACACACAAAAAGAGGCAAATTTGACGAGCTATAATAAATGATCTGGTATTTTGAGCTGAAATTTCACACACACATTGTGGGGACACCGTAGATTTATATTACATCTTGTGAAAGGAACAGAATATGTCACCTTTTATAATCCTGCCTGTCAGTGAGTGTTTGGGACCGTAGGCATTCAGTGAACACTCACTTTGTGTTTGTCGTGAATGTGATCATTTATTTTGACGCTGTGATGTTGTTTTAGCACTTTCCTTGTTCTCGACTACATCGGCCTCAACATGGCATCGGTGAACTCCTGCATCAACCCCGTGGCTCTGTACGCCGTCAGCAAGCGCTTCAGGAACTACTTCCAGGTAAGACATGCTCCTTACTTATGCCACGCTTTAGTTACTTCTCAATATTTACATGCACTAAAAGAAGTCTCACCACGACTGCGTTTATCTGATCAAAAATACAGTAATATTGTGAAATATTACTCCACTGTAAATCAGCTGTTTTCTATGTGAATATATAGTAAAGTGCAAGAAAAATCATGAGTATCAAATATTTTGAGGAAGGTTTATTTGTTCGTCTCTCGATCATCATTGTATTGCATTGCATTATACACTCACCTAAAGGATTATTAGGAACACCTGTTTAATTTCTCATTAATGCAATTATCTAATCAACCAATCACATGGCAGTTGCTTCAATGCATTTAGGGGTGTGGTCCTGGTCAAGACAATCTCCTGAACTCCAAACTGAATGTCAGAATGGGAAAGAAAGGTGATTTAAGCAATTTTGAGTGTGGCATGGTTGTTGGTGCCAGACGGGCCGGTCTGAGTATTTCACAATCTGCTCAGTTACTGGGATTTTCACGCACAACCATTTCTAGGGTTTACAAAGAATGGTGTGAAAAGGGAAAAACATCCAGTATGCGGCAGTCCTGTGGGCGAAAATGCCTTGTTGATGCTAGAGGTCAGAGGAGAATGGGCCGACTGATTCAAGCTGATAGAAGAGCAACTTTGACTGAAATAACCACTCGTTACAACCGAGGTATGCAGCAAAGCATTTGTGAAGCCACAACACGCACAACCTTGAGGCGGATGAGCTACAACAGCAGAAGACCCCACCGGGTACCACTCATCTCCACTACAAATAGGAAAAAGAGGCTACAATTTGCAAGAGCTCACCAAAATTGGACAGTTGAAGACTGGAAAAATGTTGCCTGGTCTGATGAGTCTCGATTTCTGTTGAGACATTCAGATGGTAGAGTCAATGGTGTGGGGGATGTTTTCTTGGCACACTTTAGGCCCCTTAGTGCCAATTGGGCATCGTTTAAATGCCACGGCCTACCTGAGCATTGTTTCTGACCATGTCCATCCCTTTATGGCCACCATGTACCCATCCTCTGATGGTTACTTCCAGCAGGATAATGCACCATGTCACAAAGCTCGAATCATTTCAAATTGGTTTCTTGAACATGACAATGAGTTCACTGTACTAAAATGGCCCCCACAGTCACCAGATCTCAACCCAATAGAGCATCTTTGGGATGTGGTGGAACGGGAGCTTCGTGCCCTGGATGTGCATCCCACAAATCTCCATCAACTGCAAGATGCTATCCTATCAATATGGGCCAACATTTCTAAAGAATGCTTTCAGCACCTTGTTGAATCAATGCCAGGTAGAATTAAGGCAGTTCTGAAGACGAAAGGGGGTCAAACACAGTATTAGTATGGTGTTCCTAATAATCCTTTAGGTGAATATACAGTAAAGTGTCATTTATTCCTGTGATCAAAGCTGAATTTTCAGCATCATTACTCCAGTCTTCAGTGTCACATGATCCTTCAGAAATCACTCTAATATGAGGATCTGATGCTCAAGACACATTTATGATTATTATCAGTGTAGAAAACAGCTCATATTTATGTGGACAGTTTTTATGTGGAATAGAATATTTTATAAATGTTACATGCTAAACTGTAGTTTATCTTAATTACTCTGTTGCCTTGTCAATAAGATTACATCAGTTTGTGCGGGTAATAAACGGTGTTCATATCCAGAACATCATGCAAAAAAAAAAAAGGAAAAAGAAAAGCAGAATTAATTAGCATTTTTTTTGGCATCATCTGTAAACGCGATTAAAGGGGATCGGATCTGTAGATTCACTGAGGTGGGTTTACACACACACACACACACACACACACACACACACACACACACACACACACACACACACACACTGTTTACAGCTGAATTATGGATAAGTGTTATGTATCGCAGGAAATGGGATGTGACGGCAGGAGAACTGTGGACTCTTCATGTTATTCTCCCTGACAGAGAGAGAAGTTTGAGTTTGACTTTACATGAAAGTGACCTTGTGCACAACATTTCCATAAATCCTGCATACGCTCGTGTTAATCTGCTCAGGCGTGGCATTTGCATATGTTTAGTGAGACAGAAGAGTGTGTGCTGTGATTCCTCTGTTCTGATGCTAAACGTGTTTAATCCCGATGACAGGCGTCGCTCGGCTTCTGCTCCGACAAGAGGACTTTCAGGAGGTCAAAGGTCACAGAGGACTTTCAGGAGGTCAAAGGTCACAGAGGACTTTCGGGAGGTCAAAGGTCACAGAGGAGTTTCAGGAGGTCAAAGGTCACGGATCCGCTCTCTGACGTCAGTGACTCTGGAAAACAGGACTCGTCTGACAGCGAGAGGAACGCCTCTCTCAGGAACTTTACGTGTTTTAGAAGTTCACATTAGATCTGAACTTTCTGTCACTTTTGTTTTTGTAAATACAAGTGTGTGTGTGTGTGTGTGTAGCATATTCACACTGTGTGTTGTAATACACTCATTTTAAACCAAATGTGATTATTACAGTAAAATGTTCTCATCAAATATTTCTGTGGAAACCGTCATACATGTTATTTCTCAGGATTCTTTGATGAATAGAAAGTTCAGCATTTATTTGACACACAGTAGAAATCTTAATTAAATGAATAAAAGTAGCGTATTAATGTCCTACCGCAAAAAAAAAAAAAAAAATCTAAATGATCCCAAACTTTTGAGTTGTTTTCAATTTTAATATCCTACTGTATGCACAATATGTTCTTTCTCAGCTGTGTGTGTGTGTGTGTGTGTGTGTGTGTGTGTGACCCAACAGACTCGAGACTCGTTTCCGGGTCAGAACAGAACTGTCTGTGGACTCAGTCAGCCATTATATAAAGTGCTGTGTTTTCCTGCACAATATGAGGAGAAGCCGGTCATGAATCCTCACTCAAACATCAGGTGTTCGTGGATAAAACCGTGTAATTGGCCTGATTCCAATCCATATATATATATATATATACACATACATACATATAAGCACAATCCGAATAATGAAGTCACGTGCCCTTCTGATGTCAATCTGAAAGTCTTCATCTCTGCGCTCATCCGTCACTCAACAACAGAAGAGCATGACTAAATTGGTGTATTTTCCTTCACACCGCGAGTGACTGACTGATGATTCGCGTATTTATAATGCATGTGTTCATGTGTTGTGCATTGGGACACTTACGGTAGACTTGAGGAGAGTGTGACAGAATGAGGCCAGGAATCGGGAAACTCTGTCAGACACGCGAGACCCGCTGAGTGGAAGATCTCCGGCTTTGACCCGCACGTCTCTCGAATATTACCATCATTCTGGCAAATACTGTCAGATAAATCTGGCTCTGTCTGCATGAGAACAAGTGGAAGATGAACCGTGAGTAGACAGAGAGAAGTGCTTGAGATCGGATTGCTGTAGTGCATGAGCGATAATAACATCATTAGTGTGTGCATATCTATTGCGATTGAGAAACATGATTTGTGCAAAAAGAAATGACTGAGAGAGAGAGAACAACCGAACACTTATTTCTTTCTTAGTTTGTTCTACTTACGGTTCAGAGTATTTATTTTCCCCCCACAATCATTTCTCATATCTAGTACAATTATGTGGTTTTGTTTTATTAATACACTGTGTACTTTTTTCTTGATTTACCCTGAAAGAGTGGACATGAAATGTGACACACAATTTTCTCACAAATAGAAGCCTAGTTTAAGGGCACTTGGGTGTGAGTATGGCAGGCCTCCTCCTCTCTAGAGTCTCCCGCTGAGGCCTCCGCTCTCCATAGCCCTGTGGAGGCGCTATACGTCTCTGAACTCGAGACGGTGGTCAGATCACCTCCCTTTAGGCTGGCGTCATGTGGTAAGGCCCTGCTAGAGCCTCCATGAGGTTGTTTTTCCAAGAAGCGTAGATAGTAGGCTACTCCCCTAGGTAGCAGGGTATTTCTATAGAGTGCTCCATTTCACGGATAGCCTCCGAGTAAGCCTAGTGCTCCCCTGATTCCCCTGGGTCGTTATGCAGAGTACTTCACCTCTGGTTGAGTTTTTAGCAGGACCTCTATACTCCCAGAAGCAGGTGTGTTAAGATGACAGGCTTCAAGTGTTAAGGCCTGTTCACACCGGGACGAATCTCGCGCGCGATATTCGCCGACGTTTAACGCCTCGTGACTAAACAAAGGGTGCCAATCTGAGTGTGCACACCGACGCGAAAAACGCCACACGCAAAAGCGGCATTTTTTAAAAAACGCCTCGGGTTCGTTTTTTTGGTTTGACGCGCCGCGTCAAAAACTATCCGACCAATGAGATTGGCGCTTTTGCTCACGTATATGGAGCTTCTGAAGTTACAGTAAAACACAACTTGGGGGGCGCTCAAACACAAAACGGTCTTGCCGAGCACACAAACGTAACGGCGAAGAAGATGCGCCAAGTAGCGTCTTCACCATAGATATCCATAATAAAGGCTAGATGTCTCGTCCGCGCTGCTGGCCAATGGCCTTTATTATGGATATCTATGGTCTACACTGCCGGGAAGAAATAAGACGAGGAAGATGCAAGGCCAGATGAATGTAGAGCTGCTGGTCTCGTTGCTGTCGGAACATAAAGCACTATATGACAAACGCGACAGCGACTACAAAATAGGACTATCTCTGTTTTACATTAAGTGCCATCTAATGTCAGGGAATGAATTTGCATGTTCACTCGGCTCATCGTCAGCGGAAATCGCTTGGGTGTGAACACAAAAAAAGCATTGAAAAGCGCTGACGAATAACGCCGATATTCGTCCCGGTGTGTACGGGGCTTTTGCCTCCCTCATACGGCCAGGCCGCCCCAAATGCAGACTCCAGTACTGCCCTTCAGTTCAGGCTCGCTGTGCTGAGTACGTCAGACTTCCAGCGGTCAGACTTCTGAGCGCATCAGGATGTCGTAGTCCTCCTCTCATTTGAGTTCCATCCTCCAGAGATAGATCTGGTCTCTGCACAGGGAAGAGGCCTCTCTCTTTAATTCAGAGAGGTGTGTTTAGGCCCTTCGCTTCTTTAGCTCTGTGATGTGCATAGCTAGAGCTTAGCTGGTTATTAAAAGGTATGGTCTCCCTTAAGAGAGTCATCCTGCTGAGACCTCCACGCAACAGCCTTCCAGGTAGAGCTAGAGAAGTGGTCCCTCTCTCTCTCTGAGGAGGGTTTTCAGGCCCCTCGCTCCCTGAGCTCTAGTGATAGTCGAGCTAGCTGTCCTAACTATATGTGCCAGGCCTCTCCTTCGAGAGTTGTCCTGCTGAGGCCTCCATGCACACAGATTGGTAGGTAGAGCTTAGCTCTTAGACCCGTTGCTCCCTGAGCTCTGTGTTGATGTTTTGGAAACCTCGGTGTCCAATAGATCTCCGGTGTGAGTCTGGCCTCTTCCTTAGAGTCGTCCTGCTGAGGCCTCCGCTTCCCATAGCTCTGCGAAGGAGCTGTCGGCTCCCGCTGGAGACTGTGGGTGAGTAATGAAACCCTAAACAGGTTGTTGGCTTCAGCGTTAAGCTTGATAGTATGGGGGTTGACACTGGTCAGTTGCAGGCTAAGGCCCATAGGCTCTGGGCCGTACTCCCTTAAAGGAACCCCCCACTGAAGTCGGCTGTGGTGTCCCGGCCCTTGAGCTGGCTCTGGGTCAGGTCCTTCGTGTGAAAGCACAAAGTTACGTCCTCGCTTAGCATGGAGCTCGGGCAGTGGCCGTAGGGAGTAGTGCTACTGACAGCCTGACGTGTAAGCAGTGAGGGGTTTTAACTCTGAGTTAAAAGTGTTTGTGCTTGTAAGTTAATAGCCAGCGTGGGTAGACCGTTCCCCTAGCGCTCTGACGCAGTGCGAGTTCCCTTCGAAAGGTTACGACTGTAACCTTTGTTCCCTGAACTGTGTCTCGTCGCCCTGCCTCCGGTCTGCTTGCCGGTCTCTTCAGACGGAGAAGTGGACGACATGTTCTCTAGGCGCCCCTTTATACTCCCTGGTCGCGCTAGAGAATAACGTCATGGCTGACGCCGGCCAGTGCGACTGTGGTGATTATACAGTGTTTCAGTCATCAGTCACGCGGAGGCGTTCCCTAGCGCTCTGACGCAGTGCGAGTTCCTGTGTGTGTGTGTGTGTGTGTGTGTGTGCAGCCGCTGAGGGTCAGGTAATTCATACCTGTCAACACTCCCGTTTTTCCCGGGTTTCTCCCGTTTTTTAGCCCTATCTCCCGGACCCCTCCCGGTTTGTTATTTCTCCCGGGAAACTCCCGTAATTTGCATGGCCCAAACTCCTTTATGAATAATCAGACCAATATGTTTGTCTAATGTTGACCAGTTGCCAGATCTTGTATTAAATGCATTATATTCACACAATTAGGGGTGTAACGGTACATGTAATCGTATTGAACCGTTTCGGTACGAGGCTTCCGGTTCGGTACGCATACAAACTGAACGATTCCTTGGACCATTTTTCCTGCCGACAAAATCCTCAGGATCTCTGTGTGTGTGTGTGTGTGTGTGTGTGTGTGTGTGTGTGTGTGTGTGTGTGTGTGTGTGTGTGTGTGTGTGTGTGTGTGTGTGTGTGTGTGTATGTGTGCAGCCGCTGAAGGTCAGGTAATTCCTCCAGGTGAAACTGATCCTGAATGTTGATGTTAATATCTCTGAGCTCCTGCCAGCGAGACACTTTCCTCGATGTACAGGACGTGATCATCATGATGTCACTTCCTCCTGCTGGACGTGATCATGATGTCACTTCCTCCTGCTGGACGTGATCATGATGTCACTTCCTCCTGCTGGATGCTCTCCAGGAGCTGAAGAGCTTTCAGATCACAGGTCAGTCCGATCGTTAATCTATTCTGTTTCGATGCGAAGACTCAGTGCTTTGTTTGAACGGCTGGACTGTTCCTGAAGGAACGCTAGTGGAGGATCATCCAGCCCGCATCTGGAAGACAATCTGCGGATTTGCGAGAAAAGAAGGAAATATTACCTCATTTTAGTTATAAAAAAAGTTCTCTTCTGCTCACTAATGCGTTTTATTTGATCAAAAATACAGTAAAACTGTAATATTACTCCAGTGTAAATCATCTGTTCCCTTTCGAAGGGAACTCAACAATACGTCATCGACGTTATGGGGGAACGCCTCAGGCGTGACAGGTGTCTGAAATCACTATCAAATCACGTCAATCACATTGACCGGCGACAGCCCGTGAATCATTAGCGTGAATGATTAACGTGCGACCTGGAAGTATATAAGGGCGCCTTGCAAACATGACAAATCATCTTTTCGTCTTCAGGGACTGTTTTGTCTGTAACTGCTTTGAAAATCAGGTAATTATGAAATGCTTTCAGAAGTGTGCAGACCCGTGCCCAAGATATTTGTAGCCGGGTGACACACGTGAACTGTGCATTTTTTGTCTGGGAAGGAAGACGCGCACAGGCGGTTCTCGAGGGAACTGCCTGTACAAATTGTGATC